TATTAGAGGTGCACTGTGCTCAGCTTCTGCCCAGGATGATTTGGGGCAAACTTTCTCTCTGCCCCAGAGCCCTGTGCTTTTAACTCCCACCCTCTGTATATTTATTTACTTATTTTTGGTACCAGCAGTCGAACTCACAACGTTGCGCTTGCCAGGCAGGCACTTACACTGCTGAGCTATCTATATCCCCGGCCTGCACCCTGTATATATTTAAACAGTTGGTTTTTGTGTTGTGTTTTGTTTTGTTTTCCTGTACTGGGGATTGAGCTCAGGGCCTTTGTGCTGAGCCTCATCCCTAGCTCTTTTGTTGTTTGTCTTAAAATCTTTTTCTGTGCTCACTTTGGCAGCACTTATACTAAAATTGAAACGATACAGAGATTAGCATGGCCCCTGCGCATGGATGACATGCAAATTCGTGAAGCATTCCATATTTTTGAGCTTGAAAAAAAACATAATTAAAAAAATTAAATAAAATCTTTTTCTTATTTTGAGACAGGGTCTTACTACATAGCCCAGGCTGGCCTCAAATTCATGGTGATCCTCCTGCCTCAGCCTCCTGAATGCTGGAATTATAGGCATGTGCCACCATGCCTGGCTGTTTTTTTTTTTTTTTAAATTTTGAGACAGAATCTTGCTAAGATGCTCAAGCTGGGTTCAAACTTGCAGTCTTGCCTCAGCCTTCCAGAGTGTTGGGACTACAGATGCGTACCATCATGCCTGGCTAAGATGGGTTTTTGTTGTTGTTTTTGTTTTGAGACAGGGTCTCACTAGGTTGCCCAGGCTGGCCTCAAACTGGCAGTCCTCTTGTGTCAGCCTCCTGAGTAAGCATGTGATCCTAGGTGTGCACCACCCTGCACCTTGCTGAAAATATCTTTTCTTCCTCTCTGTATTGAGGATTGCACCGAGGGCCTCACACATGCTAGGCAAGTGCTGTACCACTGAGCCATAGCCCAACCCTTCTTCAGCTTTAATAGTTCTCTAGAATAATGCACAGAACTCAGGAAAGTGCATCTGTTTGTTTACTTATTGATTTATCTTTGCAATACTTGGAGTGAATCCAGACCCTTTGCAGTTAGCTACACCCCCCAGCCCTTTTCTTACTTTGTTAAGACAGGTTCTTGCTAAATTGTTAAATTGCCCAGGCTGAACTCAAACTTGTGATCCTCCTGCTTCAGCCTCCCAGAGTACGAGGATTACAGGCATGAATCACTATGCCCTGCTTTTACTAGGGTTTTCATACTTAGGCATAGCTGATTGAATCAGTGGCTGTTAGCTCCCCCAAACCTTCCAACTTGAATCACATGTTAGTCTTTTTGGCCACAAATTTCATAAGCTGTCAGGGCCCAGTGAATAACAAAGATGCTCCTGTCACTTGAGAGCTCAGATGGTTTTTTTGTTTGTTTGTTTTTTGTTTTTTTGTGTTTTTTTTCTGGTACCGGGAACCGAACTCACAACCTTGCACTTGCCAGGCAGGAGCTGTGCTGCTGAGTTAAATTCCCAGCCCTGAGAGCTCAGATGTTTAGGGGTAATCTCCAGGAACCAGGGCAAAGGCCTTCCCTTTGAATAAAGTTAATTCTTCACCACACAGCAATCTTGAAGATCACAGACCAGTACTGTTGCACAGCAGGGTGGCGGAACCATGGTCCTTGGGGCAAATAGAACCGCCCAGTGTAGCTGCTGCTTGTGTCAATAAAACTTTATCAGAATGTGCAGTGCCCGTGTCATCCTGGAAGAGGCAGAGTTACGACAGCTCACAGAGACAGCCGGGTCAGAGCTTAAAACAGTTATCTTGTAACCTACGGGAAAATCTCTCTGGCCACTGTGTCTCACTGGGGTGGTTTTATGTTTGCAATATCTGATTCAGGTGATATGCTTTTGTCAGGAACACTGTTCAGGTGACACATGCTGTGTTCTCAGTGTCCAGTCAGGTGGCATATGATCTATTTCTCTTAAATTTCAGCATTTGCCTGCTTGTCATTGATAAGTACCCAGGGGTGACACTTTGAGATGATGTTGGTGTCCGTTCTATGACCCTCCTACCTACCCACTTAGTATTGGTGGATTGTTTTTTTTTCTTTCCTTTTTTTTTTTTTAATTTTTTTGAGATAACATCTCACTATGCAGTTCAGGCTCGCCTTGGGCTCACTTTGTAGCCCAGGTTGGTCTCAAACTCGAAACAGTCCTCCTGCCTCAGCCTCCAGAGTGCTGGGATTACAGGTATGCACCACCACACCCAGTTTAGGATTTTTTTTTTTGTGCCAGGAATCGAACTCAGGACCTTGTGCTTGCCAGGCAAGGCGCTGTGCCACTGAGCTATATCCCTGGCCCCTAGGATATTTTTTTTTTAAAGGGTGATTTTTTAAAATTCAGTTCTTTCCATCAACATTTATTGTCCATCTTCCTGTAAAGAAGTTTCTCTTCTCCCATTTATGAATTATTCACACAAGTGAAGACTCAGGGATTTTATTTTATCCAGTGTGTTATGGCCTGTATCATTTTGCAGATTGTTCTGATTTAACTAAGAGAGTCCCTTAAACCAGGCTTTTATGTCCCCTCTCTTTTATTTCCAGCATTTTATTGTGAAAAAGTTGAAACAGCAAAGTTGAAAATGCTCTTCAGTATCCCAGTATACTCACCCCTAGATTTTACTGTTAGCCTTCCCTACCCTCTGGTTCAGCTTTCTTTTGAGGGTTTTGTCCCTTCCTGGAAGTGTAGAATGCTCTGAGCTCATCCTCGTCATTTCCTGCCTCTGGGATTAGCTGGTACCTTTGGGTGGGCGTGGCTGCATGTCCACGCCTCTCACAGACCAGAGCTGGGTGACACACATACCACTAAACTTTACTGTTTGTGTCTGTCCTCGAATGGTAAAGACTACAAGCTCACAGACACCCTCCTCCCTGAATGATCATTCTCATGTTCGCCCTTTGTATTTGGTTCTTGTGAAGGCAGCCACCTCCCTCACCTCTGGGACTGTGCTGCCTAGGAAGGAGGAATGCCTGGCCACCCACACATGCCTCACAGTGCCAGGTTGCTGCGGGCCCTCTGTGTCTGGTTAGGATGGGCAGGAAGACCAAGCTTGTGGAGGGCATGTCCCAGGGGGAGGGTGTGGCCTCGCTTTCCTGACATTGGCCTCCCTCTCCTGGGCACCTATGAGTGTGACAGGCTGAGGCTGACCTGCAGAGAAGTCCTAAGTAGAAGGACCAAAAAGTGCCCATGAGCTCCTGGGGGGCTGCCTGGGATGAGGATAGACCTCAAGGGGGCTTGGGGAATGAGGGACCACACAGGAGCCCCAATGCCTGGCTGAGCCTGCCTCTGCCCGTAGGTCCCTGAAGATTGGCCTGCACATCTCCATGGACTACTGGTGGTGTACCAACATCATCCTGCGAGGGGTGGAAGAGGTCTGTCCTCAGGCCTGGGCGTTTGGGAACACACTTGAGGTGGTGGGTGCTGGGGTGCTAAGGAAGTGGCCACCTGCCCCATCCTCCCCTCCATACCTGTGGTCAGAACAGCCCAGGGTACGTGGAGGTGATGTCTGCATGTCACCAGCGGGCAGCTGATGCCCTGGTGACAGGGGCCATCCGCAATGGCGGCCTGTATGTGAAGCTGGGCCAGGGACTATGCGCCTTCAACCATCTGCTGCCACCAGAGTACATCAGGACCCTTCGTGTGCTGGAAGATAGGGCCCTCACACGTGGCTTCCGGGAGGTGAGCTCCACCCATGGGAGGGTAGGAGACAAGCACTGCCAGTTGTTGCTGCAACACCTGTTCCCACCAGGTGGATGACTTGTTCCTTGAAGACTTCCACGCGCTCCCCCAGGAACTCTTCCAGGAGTTTGAGTATCAGCCAATGGCTGCTGCAAGCCTGGCACAGGTGCACCGCGCCAAGCTACAAGATGGCACCACTGTGGCTGTGAAGGTACCTGTGAGGGGCTGCATGTCCAGGGATAGGCTCTTGGCGTGGTAGCCATCCTGGTCCTAGACAGAGCCTGCCCCTCCCAGGTGCAGTACATTGACCTGCAGGACCGCTTTGAGGCAGACGTGCACACACTGGAGGTCCTGCTGCGGCTTGTGGAGCTCATGCATCCCAGCTTTGGCTTTAGCTGGGTCCTGCAGGTAGCACTACCCCAGTAGGCGGGAGCCACATCCTCCAGGTGGGGGGTGAGAGTTGGGCCTGGACCTTGCCCCCTAAGAGCCTGTCTGGCTGCAGGATCTGAAGGGGACCCTGGCCCAGGAGCTGGACTTCGAGAATGAGGGCCGCAATGCGGAGCGCTGTGCACAGGAGTTGAAGCATTTCCGCTACATCGTGGTCCCCCGAGTGCACTGGGACAAATCTAGCAAGGTAGGCTGGCTGGCTCCTTCCTAGGGGGGCAGCGCTGGTCTGCTGAGCTCAGCCTCTCACTCTCTCCCAGCGTGTGCTGACAGCTGACTTCTGTGACGGATGCAAAATCAATGATGTGGAAGCCATCAGGAGCCAGGGGCTGGCAGCACAGGACGTGAGTGCTACACACAGGGTAGGGTATAGGAATGTTGCCTCTGTCTACTGCATGTCCCGTCCTTTCCCCAGGTAGCAGAGAAGCTGATCCAGGCTTTTGCTGAGCAGATCTTCTACACTGGTTTCATCCACTCTGACCCCCACCCCGGCAACGGTAGGAGACCACCCCAGGGTAGGGTCTTGGTGGGGGTGGCATGAGCTGACGTGCTGTGTCCCTAGTTTTGGTGAGAAGAGGCCCAGACGGGAAGGCGGAGCTGGTGCTGTTGGACCATGGGCTCTACCAGTTCTTGGATCAGAAGTAAGCGGGGGCAGGTGGGAGCTGGGCAAGGCTCTCCCTGGGCCCATCTTCCTGCCCTGGGAGGCAGGCTCACTGTGAGGCTCCCACAGGGACCGGGAATCCCTCTGCCAGCTGTGGCGAGCCATCATCCTGAGGGACGATGCAGCAATGAAGGCACACTCCGCTGCACTTGGTGTACAAGGTGAGGGTGGCTGTTGGCTGCCAGGGTGGACAGGTGGGGCCACCTGCAGGGCTGGCTGCAGAGCCTGCTCAGGCTGCACCTCTGCAGACTACATGCTGTTCTCCGAGGTGCTCATGCAGCGGCCCGTGCGCCTAGAGAGGCTGTGGAGTTCTCATCTGCTGAGCCGTGAGGAGGCAGCCTACATGCAGGACATGGCCCGCGACCACTTTGAGAGTGTCATGCAGGTGCTCAGGGCAATGCCACGGCCCATGCTGCTCGTACTGCGCAACATCAATACTGTGCGTGCCATCAATGTGGCCCTTGGCACTCCTGTGGACCGCTACTTCCTCATGGCCAAGAGGTTGGTTAACCTGAAGGGTAACTTGGGGGCAGGGCAGGTCAGCAGCTTACACATGTGTCTGACACAGTGCTGTTCGGGCCTGGAGCCGCCTGGCAAGTGCAATGTACCAGGGCATCTATGGCAGTAGCCTCCTGTGCCGTGTCAGGGTCATCTGGGAGACGCTCAAGTTTGAGGTGGCCCTCAGGTGAGTAGGCATACAGGACTAGTTAGGCAGCTGGTCAGGGCCTGCTCCCCATAGCCCATAACTCCTTGGCCCTGCCGCCTAGGCTGGAGACCCTGACCATGCGACTCACTGCCTTCCTGGTTCGTGTTCTCACCCACCTGGGCCTTCTATCCCGGACGGAAGAGCTCTACCAGTACCTGGAGACTTAGGCGTGAGGGCTGGCAGTATGGACAGCCCACACCCTGACAGCACAATGACCACAACACAATGACCACACACTTTTCTCAAAGAAATTGTTCTCCTTGCATTTTGTACAAAAAAGGGCAAGAGGTAGTATGTATGGGTGGGCAGGATCAGGGCTAGAAGTGGGCGGTGACTCGATCTGTCTCCAGCAAGTCATCCAGGATCTGTGGGATGAGGGAGGTCAGCGCAAGACCTGAGCAGGCTGGGAACGGGCTGGGGTGGGCAGGAAGGCAGGGTGCTCACAATGTCCGGCGTGGTTCCAATCTTCTTAGCCAGCTCCCCACGCTCCATGGTGCTAAGGTACAGGTACCGGTTAAGCAGCTCCCCATCGAGGACATTCCGCACGGCATTCTGCAAGATGCGCCGATCTACATGCAGCATCCTGGGGGAGGTGGCATTTGGTGGGGGTCAGGGGAGACCTGGCGGGGGGGTGGGGCTGAGGAGTGAGCAGCGGCAGGCACTCACCGGAAGGCGCGGGGGTTGAGGCCGGCATGGTGGGGCAGCATGGTGGTCAGGGCATTCTGTAGCATCAGCAAACGCCGGTAAGTCTTCTCCTGCATGGGCAGCAGGAGCCCAATGCCACCATCCAGTGTGGCTGGAGGGTCAGAGGACACAGTGTGAGCCACGCTGCCACACCGCCTCCCCAAGGGACTCCTGTCCCTGCACTCACCAAACCACGTGATGTGCTTATTCTCCCACACAACAGACTTCTTGCTGGGCCCCTCTGTGGCGCCCCTGCACGGGGTCCTCCAGAAGGTGTTCACGTGGGCTCCCACGTGGAAGTCGGCCCTGCGCAGCAGGCGCATGCCTCCAAAGCTCTCCTTGGCTGAGCCAGAGACTCGGTCACTGCCAGCCCAGCACCTGGTGCCCGGGGGTGGGGGTGGGGGGACACTCACCTTCCGGCAGGTACATGTACACCATCAGGTTGCGGTCTCGGTCAGACACTGAAGACAGAGGCCCAGAGTCAGCCCAGGTGACGCAGTCACAGCCCCACAACACCCACCCAGGAAGGCCCTGCATGCTCACCCAGGAAGCCCAGCTGGGCGTTGTCCACCATGAAGTCCACGCTGTACACCTCCAGGGGCTTGGCATCCTGGTGAAGGGAGGAGAGGTCAGGTCGGGCCTCGGGCTGGTGCCCACCCCCGCTGCTAAGCCACCCAGAGTACCCGGGACACCAGGCTCAGTGTCTTGCTCTCCTCCTGGTAGCGCAGCAGTGAGATGCTCTTCATGACATCTGCAGCCAGGATGAAGTTTTTTACGCTGATCATCTGATGGATGTACAGCTGGGTATCGATGAAGGCCATGCCTGTCAGCTCGCTGGCCCGGAGGCTCCACAGGAAGATCTGTGGGGTGGGGGCGGGTGAGCAAAGGCAGATGGCACGGGCAGGGGTGGGTGGGGCAGGCATGGTTGCAGACCTTCTGGCCGATGGCTGACACCAGGTGGCCATTGCAGTGGCACAGAGCTGTCACAGGCCCCTTCTGCTCCTTCTCATACAGGACCTTGAACTTGTTCTTGGTTAGGGGCTGGCCAGGCTCAGGCACCACCTCAATCACATCCATGATCAGAATCTAAGCCGGGAAGGAACACATGGAGACGGCAGAAATGCTGTCTGCCCCCCGCCCTGCCCCCACCCCACTGCCCCCTTACCCGCCCTCGACACGTGACTTCCTCCCCTTGCATAAGGCAGGTCCCAGCGGCCACGTAGCCTTTGAGGCCTGACACGGTCTCCTCACTGCGCAGTGACACCGTCTTCATGCATGTGACATGTTCCCACTCCTCTAGCTCGATCCTGCACAAGGTCGGGCCTCCTTAGGACACTCCGGGGCTGACAAGCAAGGCATAGCCCCCACTCAGGCATAGTCTTACCTGGCATTGGGAATGGCCTCCCAGCTAACTGGGGAGATGAGCTGAATGGAGAAGGCCTCCTGCTGTGGGTGGATGTACCGGTCATCTGCAGGGATTGGTGGGGTGGTGGTCAGAGCCAGCCCTGAGCACAGCCCACCCATCTCTGGCAGTACGCACCTCTCTCAATGGCCTCAAACTCCTTTTCTTCCCCTGTCATCCGTGGGATGCGGGTGCATGGGGTGCTGGTGCTGGTGGCCACAGCATATACCTAAGAGATTAGGGGTGTCACACACAAGGCCAGACCAGGAAGACAGTGGGGAGGGGGTGGGATGGGAAACAGACCTTGGACTCCACATGGTAAGCCACATAATGGGCCGTGCAGCGCAGAGGGATCTTCCTGACAGGCCATGGGGCGTCGTAGGACAAGTAAGCAGGCAGGACGCTGATCCTCAGCTCACCCTGGGAGTGAGGGTCAGTGAGGCCTGTGACAGCCAAGGGCATGATGGGCAGGTGCAGGTTACTAAGGCCTCCTTGATGCTGCCCTCGGTTGTGCCAGAGCAAGGGTGGGCCAGGGGCTACTGCCCAGTGAGGGCCTGGAGGGGGCTCGAGCGTTGATGGCCACGTTCCTCTCCTCCCATTCACAAGCCCCCATCTATTCTCCTAGGTTCACCCCAGGCTGGGGAACACTAGCATAGAGGACACTGGAGGCTGCTGGCAAAAGAGGCCCCACAGGCTAGAAAAATAGGCAGGAAAGTCCCTGGGCTAAGGATTACAAAGTAGGCATTACCCCTACCACGGTCCCTGGGACTACTTGCCATGTCAGATTCCTGAGTGACCCAGGAAGTCCCTGCTGCTAAGTGGGTGGCACGGGTGAGAAAACTGGCTCAGAAAAGGCGTGTGCTTGTCTCAAAAGTCAACAAAGCAGCTACAGGCAGAATGGGAGCTCAAGCCAGCGCAGCGTGGCTTTGGGGCAGACCTTTCCATGTGTGCCCCCAGGAGCCACAGCGGGTGACCTCATCACTGCCTCTACTCCCAGCTGCCCCAACCTCCAGACATTTTCTCTATGAAGGCCACATCCCACCCTCCTCCAGACACCCATCCCAGGCTCTGGGGATAGCTGAGGCTCCCGCCCGGCCTAGATGTCAAGGGCCTCCATTCTGGCCCAGGGTGGCATTAGCCCCACTGAAGGGAAACAGCCTGAGCCTTCCTACCTGTCTGTTGAAGTACAGGAAGCCACGGGGGCAGTTGACATTGTGGAATGGGGCAAAGGAGTCAATGGGGCCGTCAATGCCCATGGGGTGGAGCCGCAGGGCCCCCCGGCCAGTCACCAGGAGCCAGTGGGGTGAGGGGCCACAGATGAACACCTAGGGGCAGGCACCACGGGACACTGAGTAGGGGCCCAAGCATCTTGACCCGCAGGTTCCCACACAGCACCCACCTACCCCTGAATAGCCATAAATGTCCTCAAAGTAGCGGAAACGTGCCACACGGCCCCGGACCCCAGACCCCTCCTCGGTACTGCCACCTTCCGCCTTCTTCTTGGATGGCTTTGGCTTCTTCTCACGGAAGTTGATGTTGTGGGGGACCTGGCAAAGGTCACAATGAATGCCAGGCTCCATAAGCCTGGACCTCCATACTCCCCACGCCCTAGCAGGGTCTGATACCTTCTTGAAGCGGACTTTGAGGTTGCCCTGGCCCAGCTGGGAGTCATGAGGGAAAGCCTCATAAATGAGCAGCTCCTGGTCCACATGCACCTAGGGGACAGGAGAGGGACAGGGCCATGAATGTAAGCAGGGCTTTCGGGGGCAGGCAGCCCACAGAGCACTCACCAGTAGGTAGGGCCTGCTCTGGCGACTCCCCAAAGCAACCAGCAACACCTCCTTGACCAGTGGCAGCTCGCCCTGGCGTGTGGCTTCCTCCTTGCGGGCCTCCGCCTGTGTGGTGGGCTGTCCAGAGGAGCTGTCCACCAGGACCCGCTGCCCCACAGGGAAGTTCTTCACCAGGAATACCAGCCGCCAGTCTGGGAGCTGGTAGATCTGTGGGGGAATGAAGGTTAGTGTCGAGCAGCTGTGCTAGAGGGGCTGGGGTGCTGCAGGTGCACCCACCTCCATGGTGCCATTCTCCCGCACCAGCAGGCACCAGTGGGTGGGCTCTGCTCGGAAGGGTGTGGGTTCTCGGTCAGCAGGGGGCTGGCTGCTCCTCCGGGCCTCCTCCTTGCTAGGGCTGAAGAGGGAGCTCGAGTCCCCGTACAGCATCTCCTCCTCATCGTCCACGGTGGGGCTGGGGGCCAACAGACACGTCACAGCCTGCCCTGGGGACCCAGGCCGCCCCTCTCTGCTCCCCACATACCTGGTCTCTGAGCCCAGGCCCTCGGCCTCCAAGCTACTGCGACCCCCCAGCTCATCGCGGGCACCACCCAGGCGGCTCTCTGTGGTGAACATGCCGCTGACGTCGCGGTACAGGCAGAGGGTGATCACCTTGGACTGCTGCAGGGAGTATGGGGCTCAGCCACAGCGAGGACAAGGGGGTAGGGGTATAGTAGGCATGGGGTGGGGGACATACATGGTGCAGCGGGGGCTTGTGCAGTGCCAGGCGGTGGTGGCGGCCGCCATAGGAGTCGCTCTTCAGCAGGAACATGGTGACGTGGCCCTCGGCGCTCATGATGACCACATAGGGGTCAGCCACCGCACACTGCACGATGGGCGCGCCGAGGTCCACGGGTATGAAGTGCAGCTGATTCACTGTGGGCACAGGGCGGTCAGCCCACCCCCATCCACTGCACCCCTCAGGATGTACCCCCGGACATGTCCCCGTGGGACCTGCCCACCTCCTTCCAGCAGGCGGATGCCCAGTGGTGACACTTGGACAATGTAGCGATTGTCCCCAATGTTTCCGGCGAAGACCGTGGGGCCCTGGGTGGCAAAGCCACTGGTGTCCAGCTCCATGATCTCCTGGCCCGTCTGCAGGATCTGCAGATGGCAGCAGTGAGCTTCGTCCTCTGGGGACCCCAAGCCGCAGGCCCAGGCCCAGTCTTACCATGGTAGAGTCTTCCCGGCTCAGAATGAGAAACCCATGTCTCCGCCCGTCATCCTCTGCTTCGGGCGCATTGGGTTCCTGCTCTGAGCCCTCTGCTTTGGGGGTTTCTTCCTGTGAGGGCCAAAGAGAGGTAGGATAGGAGCCATGGTCTGGTGACACAAGCATGTG